AACTCGAAAGCGACTAAATGATTCTGTCATTTTTGTAATATCGCTTGGATAAATCGAATTGTCGTGAAAGAAGCCAAATTATTTTGTCTATAAACGCCCCTTTTCATTCAAATTGTTATTTCTTTTAAAAAAACATTTGTAACTTTCACTTTTGATGTTTATGTTTAACAAGTTTGAGATTTATAATACTACGTGATTTGGTCGCACACAAAACTAAGATGTCTCCATGAAGAGGCCGAGAATTATTTGAAATTCCTGAAAGAAAAGATATTATTTTAAAAACATATTTTTTGGCGGGTTAAAATATACACACCATCGTAATTGTAGTTTCGTTAATCGCGAGTACACTACAAAGTTGGTCTATTCTAGCATTGTTGTTGTGCCTCATATAACTCATCTGTAAAGTAATTGCTAAAGAAAGATTGTAATAATTAAAACTAAAAATTTTGGTATAGAATTAAAGGAATTGGTTCATACTTATATGGAGGGATGAAGTACGTGGATTCTTACTTATTTTTGATTTAAGATGATAATATCTGAGGAAATATATAAAATTCGTCTTTTATATAACTTGTGCTAACATTCTAGCACATATAAACTATATGTGCAAGCTGGGACTGCTAAGTCTCTGCCTAGCAACAGGGCAGCGACGGGTTCAGTAAGAAAAGAGAATAAATTTCCTTGAATATTCGACGGTATATTGAAATGTTACTGAACGATGTTCCATTATAATAATAGCTAAGACATTAAAATAATAGATAAAATAAATAATAGCTACGATACGACGATAATGTGTCCACCTTTAAATATTGTATAATTTAATTTATAAAACAAGTGAATACCATTTCTAATTATCATCCAAATAATTATAATCATAACAGTAATCATTAAGAAATAGATAAATCTATTATATCCTAAAATTGGTAAGAGACTTTTACCTCTCATTTAAAAATACATGAAGCCAAACGGAAGCAAAATTTAAGGGCAACGGTGTGCAATACTCTGTTCGTGTGAATTAATATTTCTTCCGAAAATATTTATTACATAACATAAAATATTATTTAACATTCGTGCATTTGGTTATTAATGTTCATCTATTTGTTTAATATTAATTTGACAATATTCCTAGTTCATTAATTTTCGTAAAGATCCAATTGACAGCTAGAGTTCCAAGTTGTTTGAGATCCTGCTGAAAGAGTCCCGAGCTGTTAGAGATCTTTTTAACAGAGTTCTAAGCTGTTAGAGATCCTATATATTGACAGAATTCTAAACTGGTAGTAATCCTATTGACAGAGATCCAAGGTGTTAAAGATCCTATTGACAAAGTTCCAAACTGGTAGAGATCCTATTGACAGAATTCCAAACTGGTAGAGATCCTATTGACAGAGATCCAAGCTTTTACAGATCCGAATAGTTTTTTGTCTTACTTGAAGGCTGGCATAAAATGTTTCGCAGACAGAAAGAATAACTTTTAGAAATGTTGCTTACGGTTACATGTGGAGATTAAATTTTATTGTCACATTCTCTATTTAATTAAAAGAGAACTTAAGTATCAGCTCAGCCCATCGATCACGACGATTTTACAGACAAATCCAAAATTTAAGAAAGGTAAAATAAGGTGGCATAGTGGCCCGCATTACTGAAAATTTTGTTATTTAATTCAAAATTACTGTCACAGTAAAGTCAATAAAGAGCGAGCGGACGCTCAAGGGTGGTGGTCAAGTTAAGTTATGCAAGTGCAGACAACAAGCAACTAAGCTCCAAGCTGTTAGAGATCCTATTGACAGAGTTCCAAGCTGTTAAAGATCCTATTGACAGAGTTCCAAGCTGTTAGAGATCCTATTGACAGAGTTCCAAGCTGCAAGAGATCCTATTGACAGAGTTCCAAGCTGTTAGAGATCCTATTGACAAATATCCAAGCTGATAGAGATCCTAGTGAGAGTTCCAAGCTGCAAGAGATCATATTGACAGAGTTCTAAGCTGTTAGAGATCCAATTGACAGAGTTCCAAGCTGTTAGAGATCCGAATATTTTTTTGTCTTACTTGAAGGCTGGCATAAAATGTTTCGTAGACAGAAAGAATGACTTTCAAAAATTGTGCTTGCGAATACAGATGGATAATAAATTTAATTTTCACATTCTCTATTTAATTAAAATAGAACTAAAGCATCAGCTCAGCCCATCGATCGCGATTATTTTACAGACAGATCCAAAATTTAAATAAGGTGGTATATTCCGCATTACTGAAATTTTTGTTATTTAATTATCAAAATTACTGTCACAGTAAAGTCAATAAAGAGCGAGCGGACGCTCAAGGGTGGTGGTCAAGTTAAGTTATGCAAGTGCAGACAACAAGCAACTGCACCTCCCACGCCGGCGGGCTGCTCTGCACTGGCACCTTCAAACCGCAGCACTGCGTCAGGCATCCATCGTACGAATAAGTTTCCTGGTCCAGCATTAATTTTTTCCTTAACGAGGACAAATGCGTGGGCTTCCCGGGCACCCGCTCTTGTGAAAAATTTTCCTTGTATTACTTGTGAAGAATTTCGGTAAGTCCGGTGTGAATTTTACAATTTTTCCGGTTTCGATGGACATATGTAAACCATTACGCTATTCAATTTTTTACGGCAAACCAGTTGTTCGCATGCGTTGCAAAATCGATGCATCCACACAGCAATTGTATTCTATTTTTGGTGTAGAAGACTTCTTGAAATTTTTTGTCGAACGATAGCCTCAGTAAAAACGAGTACTTTTAACACGTCGTAAAAATATTTTCAGATGGAGAATAATTTCCATATTCTTTATCGAGTGGAGAACTTAATCAATACCCGCTCTATTTTGTTGGTGTACCTGGATAAAAACAACAATACTCAACCAATTTTTTTGAGTTGAAATTGCAAAACTCAACTTGTCCACTCGAGTTGAATAAATGATACTCAACACATTAATTTCAGTGAATTAATTCAATGCTTGTACTTGGATTATTTACTTATGTCTCTACATACCACGAACACACACGAGGCAGCTGTGACATGGCATGCCGAGGGCCACATGCCCTCGTCTTGCCCTCACAATACAAGAAACGAGTGCGAATAAAAGTCGGAAATTTTTAATTGGTCCACAGACAACAGAGAATTTAATTTCTTTCTACTATAAACGGAAAATATTATTTATACTTAATATAGACGAAAATATAATTTATTCCATATATAGACATAAATATTACGTATTTATTCCCAATACAAACAGAAAATATAAGTAATTCTTTATATAGACGGGAAATATTATTTATTCATAATACAGACGGAAAATATTATTTATCCTTAATGCAGACGGATAATTTAACTGGACTTGCCAGCAGTGGCGAGGCTGAAGGCCGCAAGACATTTGTTGAGATTGCGCCTCTTGCTACAAGAACACTACCGTCATCATGGTAGTGAATGGTTAGCTTTTCACTGTGATTAAACGCTCATCATTGTTGTTTCTGCTTTTCGTTGATTAGACGCAATTAGCGCCCAAAAGATAACAATTTACGTAGTTTCATAACTTAAAATGCATTGCAATGTGCACCCGTCTCAGCACACCTCTCAATGTCCCCCAGCTCTGCACACCTCTCAATGTCCCCCAGCTCTGCACACCTCTCAATGTCCCCCAGCTCAGCACACCACTCAATATCCCCCAGCTCTGCACACCTCTCAATGTCCCCCAGCTCAGCACACCTGGGCTACAGTGAGTATGAGACGCTCATAATAATTAAAAAAATTAAAGAGGGAAAAGGAAAAGAGGGGGAAAATGTAAATTGAATTGATACGATTATTTGTCACAGGACCGTTAACATGAGAGTTATGTTGGAATAAATGCTCAACATTCTACATGTTATCGCAAAATTTGGAGCTCATCGCGTATGATACTTCTCGTGTAAGATCCTTCTTGTGTATCGAATATGATACTTAAAGCAGTATCATATACGATAGTATGTTACTGCTAACATGCTAACAACATAGTCAGTATCATTTTAACATTGAATTCTTGACTTTACCGTATAAGGTAATAATGAACGCAAGTGTCATCCCAAATCTTGGTTCTCATGATAAGTGTTGGGACTTGATGCTTGGCAGGACTATTCCTTGACTGATACTTGGCGTGAGTGCTATGATAAGACATCATGTATAATAAGAGTGTTATCGCAGCACATCACGTATAACAAGAGTGTTATCGCAGCACATCATGTATAACAAGAGTGTTATCGCAGCACATCATGTATAACATGAGTGTTATCGCAGCATATCATGTATAACAAGAGTGTTATCGCTGCACATCATGTATAGCAAGAGTGTTATCGCAGCACATCATGCATAACAACAGTGTTATCGCAGCACATCATGTATAACAAGAGTGTTATCGCAGCACATCATGTATAACAACAGTGTTATCGCAGCACATCATGTATAACAAGAGTGTTATCGCAGCACATCATGTATAACATGAGTGTTATCGCAGCATATCATGTATAACAACAGTGTTATCACAGCACATCGCAGCGAGCTATTCAACATGAATTCATTGTGTTTCGTGAAGTAAATTGAACAATTAAATTCAATCAATATTTAACAGTTTAATTCAAAATGCCTACATAACATACATTACATTACATATTTACATT